GCTTGCAGTTTACCCATCACATCCCTGTGGGCTCCTCGAGCCCAATTATGAATAACAGTCTCATCAAGGTTAGGCTACCCAATCCATGCATTTTCAAACCTGAAGCTAACTTGTCTTTTAGTCCTTAGGTCAGTGCCCACTAAAAGCAATAATGGAGAATGGTCCGATGTGCCACTAATTAAGTTGTGAACCGAAGCATTTGGGAAAAAGCGAGACCATGTATCTGAAGCCACCATTCGGTCCAGTCTTTCCTCAATTTTATTACGTCCCCTACCAGACCGCGATGTAAACGGATACCCTACCATACCAAGATCGGAGACCCGACACACCTCCAGCGCTTCCCGAAACCCCTCAAGATTACGTAGCTCATAAGGGTGGCCCCCTATCTTCTCGTCATCTGCAAGTAGATTATTAAAGTCGCCCATTAGAAGCCAAGGAAGGTTGTGCTGACTAGCTAGAGTTTTAAGGAGAGTCCAGGTGTCTGGCTTCCTATGCTGTTCAGGGAACCCATATACAAACGTGAATTGACTAAGTTGAAATAAGTATAATTGATAATATGAGTAATATTATTAAAAACAATAAGCAATGTGAAATAATTAAATTAAATATATAGCCCCTAATTATTTAATGTTAATAATTTGATCAAGTAGGATTTTTCCATTAATGTTTCTTGTTTCATTTAAGAGGTCTTCATCATATTTTTTTTACCTAATATAACCAGATTAGCTTTAAATAGGGACCCTATCGACATGATTTTCTTTTTTTAGAAAAATCAATTCATTAATTGGAAACTGAGATACGGATCAATATATTTTTATATTTTTGTATAGGAAACCTAATAATAAATCACTTATATAAAGAATAAAAAAATATAATCTTGATTTGAAGTATCTGATTGAATTGACAGAGCATAATATTTATACCATAGGCGATCGCTTGCTCCACTTTATGGCTATTCATGGCCACTGGTTGACTCCATGATTTTTCTACAAGTCCGATCTGATTACCTTCAAATTTATTCCTTCTATTGGAGAGTAAATCTACACTTCTTTCTACATAACTACCTAAATAATAAAAGACGTTAGAAAAAATCACCATAATGGTGATAACAATAACTCAGAAATAGATCTGAGGACAAAATCCGTATATATGGGCAATAATAAATCCCAATATATAAGTGACAATAACTCAAATATATAATTAGATCTGAAGATTATTTGCAAAAAATTAAAAAAAAAAAAAAAAAATTCATTGTTGCTCTCCATCATTCCTGTTTTCCTTTTTCTTTTTCTGTTTCTTTTCTTTTTCTTTTTCTTTTTACTTTTTTTTTTTTTTTAACAACACCCAAAGGAAATCTCAGTTTGGGCCCCACAGCAGGGAACCCGGTCGTTTTCAGCAAAAGCCCCTCTCCGGCGTCAAACTCGCTTCCGTATCATTCTAACCCCGGCCGTGGCTTCACCTTTCCGGGTGAGCTTTCACCTTCCCATGTCTTCTTTTCCTTGAACTGTTATCACCTTCCGGGTTGAGCTTCACCTTCCCATGTCTTCTTTTCCTTGAACTGTTAGATCGCATGGAGCAAAGCAGCATGTTGCTAAACATTGTCTTCAACAGATCTCACAAACACAGCCACAGAGAAAGAGCCATTTTTCTATGGTGGCGGCGGCTTGTAGAGGCGGAGCTCAAAGAGAATCGAGTGAGAGAAGAGAAGAAGTACATGGTTTGCTAAAGTAAAGGAAAAACTAAAGTACATTATTGTTCCTTACACAATGTGAGACTTTTTAAGTGAGGGCGTTTTCAGAATTTCTCGTTCGTTTTTGTCTGGAAAAAACAGTAATTTTGGACAGAAGATGTATCTACTAACGGAACTAAAATTTAGAGAAATTGATGTTTGACAACTGATGTTTTAAGTGTTAGTTAGATTAAAATTTAGGAATTGAATCATTATTTTTCCTTACCGAGGTCCTCACAGTAATTTTCTTACTGTATAATCAACTTGTTAAATTAAAATTTATAATTACAATCTTTTTTAATAATGATTTTTTATTTTATTTGTTAGTAATAGAATTTAGATTTAAATAAGAAATTAAAAACTTTAAAGATACTTTATCAATCCATAAATTTAATCATATGACCTTCATTCATCTACTCTGATAAGGTAAATATATTTTATAGTTTTCTTCTGTATTGTATCGAACTGTCAAAATAGGACTAAGCCTGTGGACGGCTCGGGATTATTGTATTTTTTTTCGGTTTTGAACAAAAAAATCAAGGATCATTTTCAAAATGAACCTTTTTTACCCAGCCCGTTTTGAGAGCGAGCTCGCGCAAGCTGGACTGAACGAGTCTGCGATAGCCCGCTTTAGGAGGTCAAAGAAAACTAGAACTATGAGAATTACTAAGAAAGAGGATAGAGATTTTCACAATCAGCATGTGGAAATTTTCACAAGCTGCGGATCTGATTTTCTATATTAAAATTAAGGTACTGTTATTTCCAAAGCACATCGTGTTAATGCCGGGACAAGCAATTTTTTATAACATCAAATTGACTTAGTTGCCCTTATTATTAAATAAATATGTAACACTAACCCAAAATATAAACTGATACCCTAAATAAGTGAGTTGATAGTATTGTAATACCAGTTAATAATAAATAAACAGTAATAAACTAATAAAATAAGATAAAAATTGAAATCGTGTAAATTAAATTATTTCACCATGAAATAGTATAAAAATTATGTTCACTGGAGAATTTTAACATATACCTTGCAAGCATATTGATTCAACAAAAACAATAAACTTTCTTGAGCAAGAATCTCTGCATATATTAGTAGTAGGAGAATTTCATTGCTAGGAATTAAGAAGAAACACAAATTTCAGTATAATACTTGTGCAGATAAAGAAGTAAATTCTAAATCAACAGTGTTTACAAGAATTATTCTTGTTAAACTTCACCAGATTGATGAAGAGAGTTTCCATCTTTAACAATGCCTTTTTAATGATGATAATGGTTAGATGGGGAAGATGAATATAAATATAGCAAATATTTGGCTGACAATCAATCAAACGAATAAGATTTTGTATCTAAAGTGATTCTATAATGGGAAAATTATAAAGGGAAAAAGAGAGGAGACAGGATTTGAGAGAAAAAAAAAAAAATGTAAGATTTAAATTAGGAAGTGCAAATAAGTCCATTTGGTGTTATAAAAAATTGCTTGTTTTGGCAATTAACACAATGTGGTATGGAAATTTCGCCACCCTAAAATTATATATGTTTTCTACATTAAAATTATACTCTCTCCCTTTTATTTTATTTGCATGGTTCGACAAAACACGCATATTAAGAATTTACTCAGCAAAAATTTTTTTGTCTTTTTTACTCTTAACTCATTAAGATATTAATAAAAGTCTTTTATTACATTAACAATGTATTTACTCCTCATCACCTTTTATTTTCATTTTGCATTGGTTCGACAAAAACCACGCACATATTAAGAATTTACCTCAGCAAAACAGTTTTTTTGTCTTTTTTACTCTTAACTCATCTCTGGATTACTTCTTTATGGTTCGACAAAACACGCATATTAAGAATTTACTCAGCAAAAATTTTTTTGTCTTTTTTACTCTTAACTCATTAAGATATTAATAAAAGTCTTTTATTTAATGAACAATAATAAAAGTTATTATAAGAAAAATAATTATTTACTTATCTAAATTTAGAAACTTTACAAACATTTTGAGACATTAAAAAAAAAAATAACAAGCAAACAAAACAGAAAGAAGAGAGTATTTAATTTTTATTTTTTTTTTAAAGACACGTTTAGATCTGTCCACGAGCAGCTGCAGACTTGGTAGAGGCCAAACATTAAAAGCTCGTTTTGTAAGAGGCTCTTTTGGCATCGGCCGCGGATAAGCTCGTGCAGGCACCAAAATGCCCGTTTTAACGGTATTAGTTATTTATATTGTATAAGCTATTAAATTAATTAAATATTTATTACTTTAATCATTTTATATTTTTTCCCCATAATCATGATTATTACTAAGGCTGTTACAAAAGAAAAAAATAGGTAAGTAACTTCTTTTGTTGGATAATCGTTTATAAGAAAATGGAAGGAAACAAAATAATTAAATCTTTTTTTAGATATCACTTTATAATAAAATCACATTTTTTTTTTCAAAGAAAGGACTAAAAAAAAAAATCATATGTAATATATTTTCAAATTTAAATTGTGTTGTGGATTTTCAACAAGAAGTTTTTTTTAATAAAGTTTTATTTCAAGGCATATTTTGTATTATTATTTTACTATAACATAATAATTTTTATATATTTTTAAAATATTTTACATCTAAATTAATATTTTTTTAAAATAATTTACTCTAAAATTTTAATTTCTATAATTCTATTCTAATATATATTTTTAAAATATTTTACATCTAAATTTAATTTAAATTCATCAATACAATAAAAAAAATTTTTAAAATTAAATTCCTATTCAACTAAGGTATGATTTCTTTATTTTTTCAACAAATAAAACTCAAGATCCTTGAAGATATTTTGATCAACCCTAAATTTTAAAAGGATATTTTTATTAATTTCATTATCCCCATTCTGATTTTAATATAATATTATTATTAATTCCTACTTTATTGTTTATATATTTTTTAAATTAAAATACTTTAATTGATTATAGTTTATTTATTTATAATTAAAATTATATGTATTTTTCAATTAAGATATTTTAATTGATTATGAGTCGCGATATTTTCAATTAAAGTTTTTATATTTTATTCAGTCATGGTACTATGTTGCATTTCTGTTATATTTCGTTGATGGGCTTGTCGATCAGCCGGGCCTCCCATATAGTCCACTCAAATTAAATAAAAAAAAATGAAAGAAAAAGAATAAATTGCATCGATCAATTAAATTTTTTTGGGGCGCAAGTTAGAACGCAGGGAATCAAAAAAAGCAAGGCAGAGAATCAGAGACGAAGAACAAGAGAGGTATGGGAGTGACAAAGGAGCAAGTTGAATCCGCTTTGAAGTCGAAATTGAATCCTTCACATCTTGTAAGCCCCTTTTTGTTTGTTTAATTTCTGTTCTTCTGTTTTATTTGCTGGAATTTTCTGCTTATATCATGTTATTTTTTATTGATAGTATTCATTTTCTGTTAAATTAGGAATTTGAGTTGCTGGTTTGTTTTTCTTTCGGTATTCATTGAGTTTTTTTTTTTTTCAAAGATTTTTTTCAATTTCAATACCGCTTTTGTCTCATCATTAGCTTGCTTGCTATGTGCTTGAAGTAGCAGTTTGATAATATAACAAAGCATGTGCAATTTTTAAATTGAGGGCAGAATTTAGTGAAATAAAATTGTTGGTGTTTGGAAATTAGGAGCAAATTTGGTTATTCTCTTAATGATCCATGCCTCTGATGCTGTTAGTTTAGGGAGCATGGTCTGGACTAGTTGAGCTACGTGGGAAATTTGAAAGGTAGCATGCATCATTGAATAGAAGAGAACTCCTAGAGTACTGCACTTGTTGTACGTTATATCTGAATGAAAGATTTATAGTCCTTTGGGCTCTTATTCTAGAAAATTCATTTTTATAGCTGTGGTGTCGATATTGTTGTTTCTATCAGTCTGTCGACCTAGTCTTAGTATAAAAAATGTTTTGTGATATGCATCATTTGGAAGAAGAGGTTAGTTATTGATTGTTAATTATCTTTCAATTTTCTTTTCTTGTCTTCATCTCTCTCATCCAAAAAAAAAAAAAGGAAAGAAAAGAAAAAAAAAAAAAGTTCTCCAAATGAGAAAGATTACAATGACTTCTCTATTGCTTTGGAACCAAAGACTTGAGAATGCCTTAAATGAATGGAAACTAGAGTTTATGCAAACATTGCTTGATAGTCTCTATGAAATAAGTGGGAAGATTTTTGTTACAATTTCTTAATAAAGCTGCAAAGGGCAAAGAAGGTTAAATTACTATGGAAGAATATTTGCCACACAGTTACCCTGAAGAAAACTCCCTTTTCTCTCTGGGCTGGTCGATATATACTTAAAACAGAAGAACTAGTGAAAAGAGGTAAAACTTGAATAGTTGGATAATTTACGGACGTTATGTGAAAAATGTAAACCATTTATTGCTATTGGTTGCAAGGTTCTGCATATTCAGTTTGGATTTGAAGTTTCTATTGTTTCTCATATTTACTTTTGAATTTGAAGGCCTTCTAGCTGCTTTTGGTGATTATGGCTGTTATATTAGTTGATCTGTTGGTAATTCTCTACTTAAGAACTCTGAAGCTGCAGACTAAGTCCTTAGTTTTCACTTGTAACTTTTGTTATTTCAATTCTTTGTTTTGTGATGCTTGCTATAATCATTATCAAGATCGTAATGTATTATTAGCCAGCATCTACATTTTTAAATTTTTGACCTTGTGTTTGGTAGTTAAAACTTTCATTAACAACTCAAACTTCTTTTTGGTCATTCCTAAACTTACATGGCGAGGTCATTTGTCTAAGTTCTAAACTGGAATAATTTCCATAATTTTGACCCCTGATTTATGATACTAAAATTCATGATCTGTACAAAATTATGGAAAGTATCAGGGACTTCTTGTGAAGCACAATGGTAGGAGATAAAAAATTTGGGGGTTGATTAGTAATGGATGGGATTCATGTAGCCTGCAGTTTTTTGGAAATAAAAGTGCATGCAGGTCTTAGGAGAAAAATATAGAAGATGCTTGTGGTGCTTAAGAGTATAGTTAATTTCTGATTGAGGTTGATATATTAGAAATAAATTTTCTCTATTTGGAATGCACATTTGGTGGGAGAAATTTTCTTTGTTGAGTCTGTAAAATCAATATTGATTGTGTTCAAGCCTCAGTTAATTCAAGAAGTAGCATGTGAGAAAGAGATTTTGGTGACTATGAGTGGAGATGATAAAACTCGTGGGATCTTTATGATTAAAAAAATTTAAAAGATTTGGTGTACGACTTTCACGTCTAGATTTATATCATCTTGCCAAGCATTGGCAAAATCTGTTTGGTGCAACCTGAGTTATGAATTGTTAAATTGTTTGATTTGCCTCCAGGGATGCAATTTTAGATCTGCTTCATTAGACCTAGCCTTTTTGAGTAAAAGAAGAAATTTTCTTTTAACATTCGGAGAACTAAAAATAGGTAAGAAGACTCTGTCACTTTTACCCTAAAGCTTAGCTCTATAGTTTTGGATAGAATTTACAGGTATAGAAATTGGCATGTATTAACTTTGTCAGGTAGTGCTTGTTTGAGAGGAAAGAACAATTCCTTGTAGAGCACAAAGAAGCTTTTGTTTGGTTATTAAGATTTAAGAGAATAAGGGAATGTGCATCAAAACTCATTCCAGTACAGTTTCTAATGATCTTCTTCTGGGATTGAATAGTTTGATGCATAATTTATCATTTCTATCCTCTTTACTACTAAAAGGCAAGTTGAATTCTAATGGAGATTATGTGTAATTGAGGGCCTAGTTAAACTGCATGTGGGATGTGCATGTGAAGTTCTTTTGCATGGATTTAAATGCATTAATATTGAAATACATAGGGTTTCCAAACAAATTTGGTTTTCAGTTTACCTCCATATCGATTGCATCCATTTTTTTGGCATACATATCCAATAGGTCCATTCCATATATGCTGTTACAATGATAATGTATCTTAATAGTTTCTTTTGCCTTGCACATGTTGTTCTTGTTCATATATTTCTTTGTTCCTTCCGAATCTCCTTATTTCATATGTGCTTTGAGCGTAACTATAATATTATATTTTTTTTGGTTGTGGTGTGCTCAATAAATTATATGAAGAAAGATCATCTACTTGATATAATATTATAATTTTAAAGGTCACATCATAATGCAGGAGATATTGAACCTCGGTGATAATTGTAACTCATAACTCATAGCTCATACCTAAAGAATTAGTCATAATATTGGTTTTCAAATAATACCTCCATTTAGATTTGTTGAAATGGATCCTAAGCATAAAGTTTGGACATTTGTCCTAAAGTTTATCACAATGTAACTGTGAATTTATAGTATTTATTATTTTCTTTCTGCAAAGAATCTGAATTTGACTTGGTGTGGAAGGGCAGAAAAGATTGAGCTTGACCTGAATTATTGTTTCGTCTCGAAAGAAGACAGACAATGATGCAAATGCTAAATCTTTGTAGATCTTGAGTAGTTCGGGCAATTAATATGCTATGCATATTTTTGTTCGAAGGAAATTTTTTCATGGTTTTTGATATCAAATGTTATAGTGGGTATTTTCACACCTGCATGTGCACAAAATAGACTTGCATCATATATTTGTAATACATATGCATATTATATATGTGCCTGAATATGCATAAACTAACTTTTTGTTGGGTTAACTAATTCTAATTTTGTGGTTCCAGGAAGTAATTGATACATCTGGAGGGTGAGTTCCTTCATGCCTGGTGATATTTGAAATAAAATTGTCTGATTCTC